TGAGAGCTGCGGAACGGCAAATGGTCTAACGTACGAATAATTGGAGTACCAAAAAGAGAAGAGAAAGAAAGGGCAGGTGTCGCTCTCTCTCTTTCTCTCTCTCTCTATATCTATATCTATAGATACAGATATATACACATATATATGTACGTATGTATATATGTGTGTATATACATATATGAAGATAAAGTGGCTGAGAATTTTCCAGAATTGGTGAAAGATAGAAATGGCAGATTTAATAAAACTGGAGAATCCCAAGCAAAATAAATGACAAGGTAAAAAAAAAAAATCACTCCTCTAGTTGCATTGTAGTTAAACTGCTGGAAAACAAAGATAAGGAGAAAGTGTTAAAGCAGTCAGATCCAAAAAGAAACACATACAGATGAACAGAGATGAAAATTATAACACAGTTCTTACGTAAACCATGCACGCTGGAGACAGTGGAGCATCGTTAAGTGCTGGGAGCAAACAAAACAAATTTGCCCACCTGGGATCCTACCCCCAGTTTAAAATAAAAAAAAAAAACTTTCCAAAATGAAGGCAAAGTAAAGATGCTTTTAGAGAAATAAGGGCTGAGATGATTCCTTGCTAGCCAGCCTGCCCTACTAGAAATGTTCCAGAAAACTCTAAGCTTAGGCAGGTATATGATAACAGATGACACTGGGACCCTCACAAATGCATGAAGAGCCCCGACAATAATAAAAAGGTTGACTATAAAAGATATTTCTTTTAGTTCAGTTAACATAGTTGCGTGTGTAGAGCAAAAACAATAAAAATATATATGTATGTGTCTCTTAAAATTCAGTAAGACCCCAGTCCTCAAAACGGGAAAATATTTGAATGTTTCACTGCGGAAGATACGTGAATGACCAACAAGCACGCACACAACTGTGTAGGCTGATCACTCATTAAGGGCACAGAAGTTAAAACAGCCCTAGCTGGCACTTCACACACAGCAGAAGGGCTGAGACAAACACGCCAGCAATGCTAAGTGGTTTCAAGGCTGTGGAGATTTGCCTGATTTGCTGATGGCACTGTGAAATGCAGCCGCGTTGGAAGGCAGCTCAGCAGTTTCTTTTAAAGACTATTTTCAAGGCAGAGTGACAGGAAGAGAGGAAAAGCGGGGGGGGGGGGTGTGTGTGGGGGGTGTGAGAGAGAAAAAGATTTTCATCTGCCTGTTCTCTCTCCAGATGCCTGCAACAGCAGCCAGGACTGGGCCAGGCAGAAGCTGGGAGCCAGGAGCTCCATCCTCGTCTCCCACCTGGGCCATCCTTTACTGCCTCCCAGGCACATTAGTGAAAGCTGGATTGGAGGCAGAGGAGCCGGGATTCAGTGGGTGCTCCAGTATGGGAAGTGGGTGTCCCAAATGGTGCCTTCACCTGTTGGGCCACAACTCCTGTTCCTTGGCAGGTTCTTAAAAAAATTTTAGACCATATATTTATCATGTGATCTAGTTAATTTTCTTACACGTATGTGCCTAAGAGAAATGCATCCACACAGACCAGTGGGTGGCATTATTTATAATAACTCCATACAGAAAACAATCCCCAGGTGTATTGAATAATGGATGGATGAATAATCTGGAGTATTTATACCCTGAATTCTACTCAGCAGAACAGGAGAATTAGAGGCACCTTTGGAAGATTATGCAAAGGGAAAGAAGCCAGATACAAAAGACTGAAGTCTGATGATTCCACATACACGAAATTTCTAGAAAAGGCAGAAATATGAAGACTGAATGCTGATGGGCATGGGGGACTTCCTGGCCTGATGAAGGTGTTTCACATCTGCACCGGTGGGGCAGGCATTTGGCCCAGGCTGCTGCTTGGGGCTTCCACATCCCACGTAGGAGTGCCTGAGTTCAGGTCTCGGCGTGGCTGCCTGTTTCAGCTTCCTGTGCTGGGCCTTCTTGGGAGGCTGCGGGTGATGGCTCAACTTCCTGGGTTCCTTTGGCCATGTGAACTCAATCCGGTCTCCTAGCTTTGGCCTGCCTAGCGCCAGCTGATGGGGGACGTTTATGAAGTGCATCGGCAGAAGGGAAATCTGTCTCTCTGTATCTCCACCTTTCAACTAAAAAACTGCATTGAGATGTTGGTTTTGTAAGATTACTAAAAATCACACGCAGGGGTGCGAGCTGCGGGGTAGCAGGTTAGGCCGCTGCTTAGGATGCCCACATCCTGTATTGCAGTGCCAGTCTGAGTCCTGACTGCTCCACTTCCAATCCAGTTTCCTGCCAATGCATCCTGGGAGACAGCAGATGATGGTTCATTCTGGCCTCATGTGGGGGACCTGGAAGGAGTTCCTGGCTCCTGTGTTCAGCTTGACACATCCCTGGCTACTGCAGGCATTTTGGGAGTGAATCAGAGGATGAAAGATTCTCTCTCTCTCTCTCTGCCTTTTAAATGGATGAAAATTAAAACAATAACAACAATAACAACAACAACAACAACAACAACCAAGTTTATACTTATAGTGCCATGTGCAATGTGAATTATATCTCAAAGTATCTGTAAGGATAGAGGAAAAATAAATGGGAAAATACAAAAACAAATAGTGGAATTATCAGCTTAAACCTGTATGCACTATCACACTAAATGCAAGTTGTTGAAATATCTCAATGAAAAGGCAGAGATCATTTGTAGGCTGAAAAAGTAAGATCCAGCTATTCTATTTTAAATAGAAAGGCATAGATACTTAAAAGCAAAAAAAAAAAAAAAAAAATCATATACAGTGGAACCAGGAGAAAGCAAGTGATTTGATTAACATCTGAAGGTGTTATATAATCTTAACAAAGATTATAAACAGGCATGAAGAAGACCCATTTCCTAATGATAAAAGGATCATTTTGTTACATGAATGTTCATATACTTAACAGCAGAGCTATAAAATGTGTAACACAAACAGCATTAATAATGGGGGAAGCAGACTCATAATTAGAGTTTGGGATTTCACCACCTTCGGTTTCAGTAATTTCTAGAAAACGTAGATAGAAACTCAGAAAGGATGTGCAAACTTTAACAACCCTATCAGCCAGCTTGTCCCAGCTGACATTTCTAGTCCGTGCAACCGCAGCACACACAGTCTGTTCAAATGTACATAAAATACTAAGCAAGACAGATCACGTTCCAGGCAACAAAGCAAATATCAACAAATCCTGAAAGAACTGAATCACCCAAGAGTTAAAGTTCAGGAGTTGGAAGGTGACTGGAAATTTCCAAATATTTGGGAATGAAACAACACAGGACTAAATAACTGGTAGGGCAAGGAAGACATCTCAAAGGAAACTAGGAAATAATTTGAAGCAAAAGAAAATGAAAGTAGAATGTATTAGTATCTGTGCCATGCATTTAAACCAATGCCTAGAGGGAGCTTTTATAATTTTAAATAATGATATTAGAACTATTTAAATTCTTTGATTTAACTTGTTTTTAAATGTGAAAGAATTTTTGTAAATTTTTAAACATTTTCAGGTATACAGGTTTCTTGTATGTCATATATACAGATTTAGAAAAGCTCTGGACTGGAAAGAACCCCATGTCTGTCAGCAGCAGATTGGTGGGTAAACAATGTGGAGTGCCAGACAATGGCATACTGTTTGGCGCTAAAAAGGAGCTAAATACTTACATACACAGCAGTGAGGACGAAGCTCACTCCTGTCAGGTGGAAGGAGCCAGACGCAGAAGGCAACACGTATAACTGTCTTTAGATGACACACTGGAGCTGGAGCGTGTAAAACACACTACGCATGGCCGGTTGGTCAGCAGCTGCCTGCGTGGTGGGAGGTGGGGAGGGGGCACCATCTGGGGTGTGGAGGTGTTCTCCCTGTGATGAGGAGAGTAGCTCCTAGGGGTCTGCATTTGTCAAAGCCTCATCTGACAGGAAGCTTGAAATGTGTTTGATGACAGAGGAGTGATACTTCAATTATTTATTTTTTTATTAAAGAATAAAGTAATGGCGGTAAATCGCTGCCCACTCTTACTGTCAGGGCTTGAGAGACTGCGTGTTCCACCTCCTCACGGGGGTGATCCCTGTTGGGCTCGCTTGCTGAAGAATCCATCCTTCCCCCACGTTCCTGTCTTGCCACTGCTGTCACAGAGCAAAGTTCCATGCCTGTGTGGCTCAGTTGATATGATTCCTGTCCAATTTCATTGATCAGTTTGTTTGTCCTATCTTAATTACTTGAGCTTCATGATGAGCCCGGTATGTATCTATCTTCAGAAGTGTTTTGACAACTCTTGATCCTGTGTTGTTTCATATACATTTTATGAAGAGCTTATCTGTTTCTATGTTGTATGAAAAACCTTGTAGCAATGTTGATAGGGATGATGTTGGGTTTTATGGATACATTTGGGTAGGCTTTGAATTTGTACAATATTAAATCTTTGTGTTCATTGCTTTAGTGTATCTTTCTGTTTGTTAAAACCTTCTTTAATATCTCAGTATGATTTTGTAATTTTTCCCTGTAGTTTTTGCACATATTTTGAAAGATTGACTTCAGGGTGTTTGATGTTTCTTATTTTCTTGCAAGCAAAATCTTTCTTCTAATTATGTTTTCTCATGATTCATTGTTGGTGTATAGAAATGTGAGTTTTCGGAATAATCCTATGTCTAGAGAAGTTTTGCTTCTGTTTGAGGAAGAAGCTCATTAATTGATTGGCAGAGTTTGGGGTGCGTGTGTGTGTACATGTGTAGGGTTGTTTGTGGGGTGTGTGTGTACATGTGTAGGGTTGTCTGTGGGTTGTGTGTGTGTACATGTATAGGGTTGTCTATAGGGTGTGTGTGTGTGTGTGTTGGAGAGTGGTGATGTGGAGGGTAGATTTTCAAAGTCCTTAGGTCCTTGTCTGTAGCTGAGTCTCTACCTGTAAGGTGGGGCGGGGGGAGGTGACTCCCAGGAGAAGAGGTATCCAGTTTCCAGGTGGAGAGAGGGTCTCTCTTCATTTCGGGATGGCTGCTCATGGTGCTGCCTGTGCTGATCACAATGTGTCACTCATTTCTTTCAGTATCCGGAGTGTGATGCAGAAGTACCTTCAGGAGAGAAATGAAATAACCTTTGACAAGATTTTCAATCAGAAAATCGGTAAGTCCCGCCCGTTGCCTGCTCACCTGGTGCCCTGTCATTCCAGTAGTGATGTCCCGTGATAACACAGCGGGTATCAGCGCAGCCCCTGGGGCTTCATAGCAAACCTCAGGTGCTTAATCGATACTCGATGCTGGCGCGCATTCCTGGTAGTGCATCTTGTGAATAGGCATTAGGAAACTCACCAGTTGGAATCTGGGTTTTTTCTTTTTAAAGATTTACTTATTTGAAAGGCACAGTTAGAGGGAGGGAGAGAACTCCCCTTGCTAGTTCATTCCCCCGAAATGGTTGCAGCAGCTGAGACTGGGCAGGGTAAAGCCAGGAGCTCCTTCTGGGTCTCCCACATGGGTGCAGGGGCACAAGCACTTGGGCCATCTTCTGCCTTCACAGGCACATTAATTAGCAGGGAGCTGGATGGGAAGTGGAGCAGCCAGGTCTGGAACTGGTGCCTGTATGGGTTGCTGGCACTGCAGATGGAGGCTTTACCTGCTCTGCCATTATGGCAGCCCTGATTCTGGGTCTTAAGACAGTTTAGGGGTTGCTCAAATCAGGGGATCGGGTGCTTAGCAACCAGAAGCTCTCTGGAGCAGACCTCGTGGCGCAGCAGCCTAAGCTGTGAGCCGGGATGCCCACCTGTGCGCGTCCCAGCACCTGTGCTTCCGATTCAGCTTCAGACACTTGGGCCCTGCCCCACACATGGAAAACCCAGATGAGTTCTGGGCTCCTGGCTTCAGCCTGGCCCAACCTGAGCTGCTGAGGGCATTTGGGGAGTGAACCAGCAGATGGAAAACCTCCCTCCCTCCCTCTGCCTCTGCCTCTCTGCAACTGCCTTTCAAATAAAAAATCTTTTAAAAAATTTTAAAAACTGTACTGAAAATGCACAGGCATTTTCTTGTCATTTCCTGAATGCAGTAGATGACTGTATACGCAGCTTTGTAACGGATAGTATAGGAAATGTAGCGGTGATTGAAGGTACCCAGGAGGATGGGTGTAGGTCCTGTGCCAGTACTGCCTCCTGGTATAAGGGAGTTGAGCATCTGCAGGTTTGGGGGGTTTTGGAGCCAATCCTCTGTGACCCCCTGGGGCCACTGTGGTTCTGTCTGCCTGGTTAATAGACACAGGCACACAGATCTCTTTGAGACTGGGTATTTGTTGAGATAATAATGGGTTCCTTTCTTTTTAAAATTATTAGAGACATGGAGAGATAGAGATAGAAAGAGAGTGAGTGTGTGTGCTTGTGTGTGTGTATGTGTGCATGCTTCTCCCCGACTGGTTCACTGCCCTGCAATGGCCAGGACTGGGTTTGGCCGAAACCCAGAGCTGGGAACTCCATCCAGGCCTCCCAGACGGGTGGCAGGGATCCAACCACTTGAACCATCATCTGCTATATCCCGGGGTCTGTATTAACAGGAAGCTGGGGTCAGGAGCCAGAACTTGAACCTAGGCACTGGCTGTAGGGCGCAGGTGTCTTAACCAGTGTGTTAGACTCGAGGCCTGATGCCCTTCCCGGGCTGCCCGTTTGCTTACAGATGAGCAGCTGTAGACACAGGGAGGGGAAGTGACTTGTTCTCATTCCCAGTTCCCCTTCTTTAATCTGATAATTCTGTAAAGACTATTGATAAGGAAACAGTGAATGTGAAATGTACCACTGCAGGTTGCTGGGTAAGAACTGGATGGAGTTTTAAAGAATTGTGGGCCCTCTTGATAGACAGTCACATCAAGAAGAAACTGGTATGGACAGCTTTGATGCACGTTGCGCTCTGCAATCAGCCAGGCCGCGAGGGCAGTCTTCAGTGGACGAGGCCTCCATGATGAGCTGAGAAGCACAGGAGCTAGCAAGGTGGATGACATAGGAGTGGGCCATTTGGTGCCACGGTTAAGACATCACGTGGGACGCCCACATTCCCTGTCAGAGTACCGAGTTCGAGTCCTGGCTCTGCTCCCGATTCCAGTTCCCTGCTGTGGCTCACTCCAGGAAGGCAGCAGGTGATGGCTCGAGTACAAGGTTCCTTGCCACTCAAGTGGGAGACCTGGATTGAGTTCTGGGCTCCTGGCTTCATCTGGTTCAGCCGGGTATTGCAGGCATTTGGGGAGTGAACCAGTAGATGGAAGATTCATTCATTCATTCTCTCTCTCTCTCTCTCCTTCTCCCTCTCCCTTAGCCTTTAAAATAAATTTTTAAACAAGGGCAGCTGAGGTGCTTTGGCGAGGCAGCTGAGGTGGCCTGTGTGTGCTTCTAGGAGAACGCGGGCAAGCAGCCAGTGGTCCCGCCCCACGCAGGGCCCTGTCGTGCCGAGCGGCAGGATTTGGCTGGGGAGCAGATGAGCTAAGAGGGTTTGGCTTTTGTTCTTATCTATACCAGTGCTCTCCTTCGCTTCTGCTTTTGTGCTGAAAACCAGAACATAAAGCTATCATGGTAATGAGAGAGAGGAACTCTTGTGTCGTGGGAATTATTTGCTAGTTAAGAAGTTTTTAAATTTATACTTTGACTTTATCATGATCTGTTTCCCATGGCGTAGAATCAACCCACTGAAAGATGTCGTTCCGGGGCTTTTGCTGTATTCACAGTTTTGCAGCTGTACAGTGTCATTTGAGAGCATTCTCATCACCCTGGAAAGAAACTCTGCCCCTCCCCTTTCTCCCTTCTCCCTGGTTCGTGGCAGCCAGGAATCTGCTTTCTGCCTCTGTGGGCCACTCTGCATACGTGGAACCAGACACGGTGTGGTCCTTTGCGTTTGGCATCTCAGCCTCATGCCTTTTTGCAGACCACATGGTGTGTTGGCCGAGCTGCCGCTGGGCTCATTTGGGTTGTTTCCACCTCCGGGCTGTTGTGATGGTGCCGCTAGGAAAGGAAAGACTTCCTGGGATCTAAGCGGGTGGCTTCCTACTGTTAAGACACAATGGTAGATGGTGAGAAGCCTGCCTTCCCTCCTGCCCCCTCTTCCCGGGTTCTGAGACACAGGGAAGACTGAAGACATCTCCTTTGTGCTTGTGCCCCTGCTCCCTTCTGTAACCCTTTCCTGTCCACCATTGCCACCCCCTCCCCTCCCCAGGACACACAGGGCCCCCAAACTTGTCTCCTCCACTGTTTGCCTTAAACCAACATGACCCTGGCCCCAGGGCCTTTGCCTGGAGCCCCTGCTGCGTCGCTCTGGCCAGGTCAGCTTGCTTCAGCTGTGTAGTCTCGCTGCGTGCGAATGGGCCGTGAGTTGTGTCTCACGCTCTTAAGAGAATTGAAAGTTGCTTACACATAAGGAAAGCAGTTCCTTCTCGCCTTCCCTCTGGTTGGCAAACTGGGGGCAGAAACTTGGAAGGTCATGGTCAACGGCAAGACTAAGCAATCGACTAGGAGAGATGGTGCGGGGTCAGTGGGCTGGACACAGCTCTGCCTCTCTGCCTCTCCATGGCGTCCAGGGCTTGTCCGGCTGGCCCCTGTTTTTGCCCTGTAGCATTTTCACTTTCTGTGTAGCGGTAGGGGCTGGGGGAGGGGGAGGGTGGGCCATGGCAGAGGGGAGGGGAGGCATGCCTTTAGTCTGGCTCTGCAGGTCCTCTTCTGCCTTCCTTGTCCAGCACTGTCCTTCCCAGCTGACCTCCCATCTGCTCCACCTGCTCCTCATGGGACTGGCCCTTCCCCCATCCTCTCCTCTCCCCTCCTCCCTCCTGCTCTCCTGGAACTCTGTTGTTTCTCTCCCGCCCCCAGCCCCTGCCTGTCAACTCCTGTTCTCTCCTGGTTCCATGCAGCTGGCCATAGCGGGGCTTGGGGGTTGTTGGCTGTGCAGGTCTCTCATTTGCTGGCCTCTGAGGCTTTACTGAGATGGTGAGAGATGAGCAGCCCCATGGGCTCTGCCTGAAGTGGTTGTTATTGCATTAGTTTTTATTTTGTTTTTTTGTTTTTTTTTTTTTTTTGAATCTGTGGAAGTGAGGCCAATCATAGTCCTTGCTCCTGGCTGTCGTGTGGGTTGGCAGGGGTGGGCGTGGAACCCTCTGCACAGGGATTGGCTCTCAGCAGAGGCTCAGTGAATGGAAGCTCTTAAATGGAATTGATTTTCTGAAATAGTTCTCGCCATACACAAAAGTAGGCTAACACAGTGAGCACACACACTTCTCATCACCTAAATTCACTGTTTTGCAGCATTTTCTCTCCTATCTCCTCTGTGGTTGCTGAAACGTTTTAAAGCTAATCAGCAAATCGCACTTAGCTCTGCCCCTGTGTACATCTCTTATAAAGCATGAGTGCTTCTTTAACTCCTTCTAGAATGCCAGCGCCTTTATCCCAGCCAATGAGGTTTGTATTGATTCTTGGTCTATGCTCATACCCAGTCCCTATTCAGGTATTTCAGATTCAGAACCAGTCCTCTACTCTGTGTTTGGAATCGGGATGCAAGTGTTGGTTCACTGTTAGAATTGGTAAGGATGCGTGTTAACCCAGAACAGGCCACCCCCTGCATGCACTGGAGGAAGTGGGGTACATCATGTCGCAGAGTGTCCCGCACTCTGGACTTTTCCATCTGCGACTGCTTGGTGGTCTTTGAATCGCACTTCTGCTCATAGTTCTCATAAGGTGACCACTCTTCACGGCGTGATAAACTTGAGCCTCGGCTCTCAGCAGGAGACGTGGCACAGTGTCCCTGCGTCACCTCTGTCAAGGCTGCCCAGGTACGTCAGCCATCCAGTCCCTCACCCAGCAGTGAGCTCATCTTCATTTCTGTGTCATGAATGATCTTTGACTGAATCAGTTATTAGGGAGTTATAAGCGTTCTCTAAGTGTGTTATTCCTTCTGCATTTTCTAATCTTGCTGACCAGTTAGGGCTGGTCTTTAAATAGTTTAGGAGTGGGTATTTCGCCTGCTGGTTAAGGTGCTTGTGTCCCACATCAGAGTCTGACTCTGGCTCTTGACTCCAGGTTCCTCCCCGTGCAGACGCTGGGATGCAGCAGGAGATGGCTCAAGGAATTGGATTCCTGCCACCCATGTGGGAGACCTGGATTAAGTTCCTGGGTT